TGACTTCACCTGCGAGAAGTGCACCCAACTCCAGCTCCTCACAAATCGCGTTAGGGAACGGGAGCTGGAGCTGGATGAGCTCTGGATCATTCGGGAGGCTGAGGGGGTGATAGAGAGGAGTTACAGGGAGGTAGTGACACCCAAGTTACAGGATAAAAGTAGCTGGGTGACCGTCAGGAGAGGAAAAGGGAATACGCAGACAGTGCAGGGATCCCCTATGGCCGTTCCCCTCAATAATAAGTATACTGTTTTGGATACTGTTGGGGGGGATGACCTACCGGGGAAAGCCATAGCGGCCAGGTCTCTGGCACTGAGCCTGGCTCTGCGGCTCAGAAGGGAAGGGGGAAAATAGGAGAGTGATAGTGATAAGAGATTCAATGGTTAGGGGAACAGACAGGAGATTCTGAGGTACCAAGTGAGAATCCTGGATGGCATGTTGCCTCCCGGGTGCCAGGTTCATGGATGTCTCAGATCGAATCAACAGGATTCTTAAGGGGGAGGGTGAGCAGCCAGAAACCGTGGTACACAACGGTACCAATGACATAGCTAGGAAACAGAATGAGGACCTGAAAAGTGAATGTAGGGAATTAGGTTAGAAGCTAAAAGCTAGGACAAGCAGAGTAGTAATCTCAGGATTATTACCGATGCCATGAGCTAGTGAGGCTAGGAATAGAGAGAGAGTGCAGCTGAACACGTGGCTACAGAGCTGGTGTAGGAGGCAGGACTTCAGATATATTGGATCATTGGGATACCATCTGGGGAAGGTGGGACATGTACAAGAGGGACAGGTTGCACCTGAACTGGAGGGGCACCAATATCCTGGGCGGAAGTCTTGCTAGAGCTCTTCGGGAGGGTTTAAACTAGTTTGACAGGGGGATGGGAACTGAAGCTATGGATCAGAGGATGGGGTAGGTGGTGTACAGGCAGATACGGCATGCAGAGGGACTGTGAGGAAGGATAGACAGTTGATCGGGCAAAGTTGCAGTCAGTACGACAGGTTGAAGTATATCTATTTTACACAAAAAGTGTCGGGAATAAGGGTAACCAACTTAGAGCATGGATCAGTACTTGGAGCTACGATGTTGTGGCTATTACAGAGACTCCCTGACCTTTACTATTGTCATGGAGAGGAATAGGAGCAGACAGAATGGGAAAGTATTTAATTGGGGGAGGGGGAATTACAATTACAATGGGGAATTAGGCAAGAACTGCGGAGCATAAACTAGGAACAGATGTTCTCAGGGAAATGCACAACAGAAGTGCGGAGGTTGTTTAGGGAGTACTTGCTACGAGTGCTGGATAGGTTTGTCTCACTGAGGCAAGGAAAGGATGGTAAGGTGAAGTAAGTTTGGATGATAAGACATATGGAACATGTAGTCAAGAGGAAGAAGGAAACTTACTTAAGGTTGAGGAAGCAAAGATCTGACAGGGCTCTAGAGGGTTACAAGGTAGCCAGGAAGGAACTGAAGATTGGACTTAGGAGAGCTAGAAGGGGGTATAAAAAAGCCTTGGTGGGTAGGATTACGGAAAACCCCAAGGCGTCCTGTACTTATATGAAGAACAAGAGGATGGCCAGAGTGAGGGTAGGGCCGATCAAGGATAGTGGAGGGAATTTGTGCCAGAGTCGGAGGAGGTAGGGGAGGTCCTTAATGAATAATTTGCTTCAGTATTCACCAGGGAGAGGGACCTTCATGTTTGTGAGGACAGCGTGAAACAGGCTGATATGCTCGAACAGGTTGATGTTAAGGAGGATGTGCTAGAAATTTTGAAAAACATGAGGATAGATAAGTCCCCTGGGCCAGATGGGATATACCCAAGATTGCTACGGGAAGCGAGAGAACAGATTGCTGCCCCTTTGGCGACGATCTTTGCATCCTCACTGTCCAGTGGAGTAGTACCGGATGATTGGAGGGTGGAAAATGTTATTCCCTTGTTCAATGAAAAGGAATAGGGATAATCATGGGAATTATAGATGAGTCTGTCTTACTTCTGTGGTGGGCAAATTATTGGAGAGGATTCTGAGAGATAGTATTTATGATTATTTGGAAAAGCACAGTTTGATTAGAAATAGTCAGCATGGCTTTGTGAGGGGCAGGTCATGCCTCACAAACCTTATTGAATTCTTTGAGGATGTAGCAAAACACATTGATGAAGGTAGAGCAGTGGATGTGGTGTATTTGGATTTTAGCAAGGCATTTGATAAAGTTCCCCATGGTAGGCTCATTCAGAAAGTAAGGAGCCATGGAATTCAGGGAAATTTGGCTGTCTGGATATAGAATTGGCTGTCCAATAGAAGACAGAGGGTGGTAGTAGATGGAAGTATTCAGCCTGGAGCAGTGGTGTTCCGCAGGGATCTGTTCTGGGACCTCTGCTCTTTGTGATCTTTATTAATGACTTGGATGAGGAAGTGGAAAAGTGGGTTAGTAAGTTTGCCTTCATGCCAATGAAGGTTGGTGTAGTTGTGGATAGTGTGGAGGGCTGTTGTAGGTTGCAACGGGACATTGACAGAATGCAGAGCTGGGCAAAGAAGTGACAGATGGAATTCAATCTGGAAAAATGTGAAGTGATTCAATTTGGAAGGTCAAATTTGAATGCAGAATACAGGGTTAATGGCAGGATTCTTGGCAGTGTAGAGGAATAGAGGGATCTTGGAGTCCACATCTGTAGATCCCTCAAAGTTGCTACTCAAGTTGATAGGTTTGTTAAGAAGGCATATGGAGTGTTACCTTTCATTGGCAGGGGAATTACGTTTAAGAGCTGCAAGGTTATGCTGCAGTTATATAAAACCCTGGTTAGACCACACTTGGAATATTGTGTTCAATTCTGGCCACCTCATTATAGGAAAGATGTGGAAGCTTTAGAGACGGTGCAGAGGAGATTTACCAGGATTCTGCCTGGACTGGAGGCCTGGTCTTATGAGGAAAGGTGAGGGAGCTAGGGCTTTTCTCATTGGAGCGAAGAAGGATAAGAGGTGACTTGATAAAGGTGCACAAGATGATGATAGACATAGACAGTGTGGATAGCCAGAGACTTTTTCCCAGGGCGGAAATGACTATTACGAGGGGGCATAATTTTAAGGTGATTGGAGGGAGGTATAGGGGAGATGTCAGAGGTAGGTTTCTTACACAGAGAGTGGTGGGTGTGTGGAATGCGCTGTCGGCGGTGGTAGTGGAGTCAGATACATTAGGGACATTTAAGTGAGTCTTGGATAGGCACATGGTTGATAGTAAAATGTAGGGTATGCAGGGTAGTTTGATCTTAGAGTAGGATAGTAGGTCGGCTCAACATCTTGGGCCAAAGGGCCTATAATGTGCTGAACTGTTCTACGTTCTATGTTCCATGTTCTATGTTCTATGTTCCATGTTCCATGTTCTAAGGATGTTCTGGCATTGATGGGGGTCGAGAGGAGGTTTACAAGAATGATCCTGCAATAAAGGGCTTGTCATACGAGGAGCGGTTGAGGACTATGGGTCTGTACTTGATGGAGTTTAAAAGGATGAGTGAAGGTCTGAATGAAACTTGAAGAGTGCTGAGAGGTCTGAATATAATGAATGAGTAGAAGATGTTTCCACTAGCTCAACAGTCTAGGACCCGAGAACGCAGCTTCAGATTCAAGTGACGATCCTGCAGAACTGAGATGAAGAGAAATCCAGAGCTCATTGCCGCATTAGGCTATGGAGGCCAAGTCACTCAGTGTATTTAAGACAGGAATAGATATATTAATGATAAAAATGGATTCAAAGGTTACAGGGAGAAGGCAGGACAATAGGGTTGAGAAATGTATCAGCCATGATTGAATGTCAGAACAGACTCAATGGGATGAATGGTTAATTCTGCTCCAATATCTTATGGTCTTCTGTTGAACCTATGCTATTCTTGTCAACTTTAACCTTTGGCCTTTGTATGCCATACTTCACCAAAACCCTTCTAAAAGTCCAGAAAAATAACTTGCCCTAAAATTTAAATCTTAAAGCCATTTGCGTTAGTAATTAGGGCCATAGTTAACTAGAGGCAGTAACAATTCTGGGCCCCTGCTATGTGCATAGCCAATGATCAGCATGGTTAACATTACTGCACGCAACATCCATTCTGATGAGCAGTTAACATTAAGTTGGTTTGATCCCTGCATTTCAAATGCTGAAGATGGGTTATTCACGCATGACAATCCTCATGCCCTTTTTGGAAGTCTATCCGGTTTAGTCTGATTGAGTATAAAAGCCATTATATAATGTTAGGCTTTCAGCATCTTCAGTCTTGTGTATTTGTTTTCATATCAAAAGGAGTTCGGCAGAGGTGGTGCAAGTCATGAAGTATTTGGTATAGAAAATGAAAAGAAACTTTTTTTTCCCCTCAGTGGCTGAAGGTGATTGGCAAAAGAACCACTGGTGACATAAGGAAAACATTTTTATGCAACAAGTGATTATGATTTTGAAAGCAGCGATAATGATTCAATAGTAGCATAGAAGTTACGAAATATACTGAATCTACTTCAGTGTCAAAGCTGTCAAAGAGAGTTGATTAAATAGTTGAAAGAGAAAAAATGTATCTGTACGAGAAAGAGCAGGACAGTGGGAACAACTGGACAGCTCTTCAAAAGAAATGGCATAGGCCAGATGGCCTTCTTCTGTGCTGTTTTGCTGATCACAGAAATACTACCACAGGTTAGAGTAAGGTGACTCTCTGCCCAAATCTTTGACTTGTGCTGATAAAATGCTGTCCCAGCAAAACAACAATGTAAAATGATCCAATTGAATCATGTTCATTCTCAATCAAGACAAGGAAATCAAATTACCTATGGATTGTGGAGGCATTTGTTTTCAAAAAGCTCCCATTTCTATTTTCATGTAAACATCTTAGAAATGTAAATTTCATGTAAATATGAAAATATTGCAACAGCACAACCTATAATTCTGAAAGGTACTTACATAGATATCATTTCATACAATGAAAATATTGAAGTGCTCTTTGTTGATTGTAATATTCTTTGAATTCAGTATTACCTTGAGAGGCAGCACCTCTTTGTTAATTGCAAAGAAAGAAGCCATTGCTTGAGTCCAGGATAACAAGCCAGCAACATTCCCACAGACTTTCTTAGCATGTTCAAATGTATAATCTTCCATCATGAAATATGGCTGGAGAAGCTCTACTGTTTCATCATTGATGGTGTCCTTTGGAAACTGTTGCAGGGCCTGGAGAAAGCCAGTGCCACTCAACAACTAGAATAAAGGAGTGATAGAAATTCATTAGACCATAAGAACTTCAGAAATAATAACAGGAGTAGGTTATTCAAGCCTGCCCACTATTCAATAAGATCATTGCTGATCTGACATTCCTCACGTCCACTTTCCTGCTCTGTGCCTCAACGCTTGATACCCCTACTGATCAAGAATCTATCAATCTTAGCCTTATATACAAACAAGGACTCTGTCTCCATAGCTCTTTGTGGTAAGGAATTCCAAAGACTCATAACCCTCTGAAAGAAGAAATTCCTCCTCACCTCAGTCTTAAATTGCCATCCCTTGTTACAATTCAGATTGAGTCATTGATGTAAATTCATTGTTTAAATAGTCAACAACACCATTGTCATTGTCTCGTGTGGCTATGTCTATGGTTAGAGGTGAAGTAGATTTAGTATATTTGGTAACTTCTATGTTCCTGCTATTTTATGCATTAAAACCGAATATACAACTAAAGGCAAATTCAACATGTCTCTTAACATTTCTGAAAAGAAATTATAAAGTTTAATGTATAATTATTTCAGATTAGCAGAGTCCATGATTGTTAGCAGAGTGGTCACAGGTTTACATCTTTCTATGTTCTTATAATGAATGATCATGCCAAGCTATTATAGAGCAGTCACAAGCAGCAGAAGTGTTCTTTGCTAGTTGCACAAAATAAGCTCTTAACAAAGTTAGCTGCATTTTTGTTTCAGGGTTATATCTTTTTTCATGAAAGTCAATAGAAACATCTGTACCACCCTGTTTTATCATATTAAAATCTATCTTCTCCCAATTCAAAACCTTACATTTGATTCCATCTTGTCCTTTTCCACGACTACCTTGACCTTACTGAGTTATGATCATTATCACCAAAATGCTCTCTCACTGACATTTTGACCATCTGTCTAGGTTTGTACCCTAAAACTAGGTCCAGCACTGCCTTAGCTCTTGTAGGAATTTTTATATGCTGGCTTAAAAAGCTCTGTTGGGCACATTTTAAGAGTTCTGTCCCCTCTAAGCCTTTCACACTTTTTCTATCCAAGTTAACAAGAGGATTGGTTAAATGGCTAGCTTATGATGCCAACAACACAGGTTTAATTCTTACACAAGCTGAGCTAAAGTTGTCAACTTTAACCCTCACCTGAGGCATGGTAAACCTCACTATCAGCCATTTTTCTCTAATGAGAGAGCGGCCTTCTGTCATTATGATGACTTTATCTTTACCCCAATTAATATTAGGAAAGTTAAAATCCCCTGCTATTTCCTATTATTTTCATTCTTCTCTGAAATTTGTCAAAATATCTTCCCCTTCTAACACCTACTGACTGTTTGGGGGTGTCATGAGGGGTGTACAGTCATGAAGCAGTGATACCTGGAAATGCTGGAAAACGTCTAGCTCATGTCATCACCTGTGCACAGATCTACAATTTCTGGTAGTAATTACAGAACAATTGAACATTGAGTGTAAGCCCTTCCAATTGTTGAAGTCCCCTTGAGAGACCTGTCGACCACACGCATAGTGTCAGTGATTCCATGGACCTGGGACAGTGTTATTATGGCACAAAAGTTCTTTCAGGCTGACAGTCCTCAATGGTTGTAAACATGAAGGACTGGTTGATTCTCCTGAATGGGTGTCTGTTATGACTTTTATACAGTGATGTACAGCTTCTTGGGAGATGTCATACAGGTTACCACTGACACCCAGTAATGGGTCTGAGATGTTGGAATTCAGGACAACTATGACCTCGCCAACCACTGACATCAGATGTCCACCACTCAATATGAGCTGTCCTCCATGGCCATCATGTCACAGAGAGCTATTGTGGTCTTTTTTGACAGGCAAAATGATTGAACATAGTCATGCTTGGATTGCAATGATTCAAGAAGGAAGCTCACCATTCCTTCTCAAAGGCAACTAAGGGATGGGCAATAAATTCTGGCCCAGCCAGCAATGCACACATCCCATGAGTGAATAGAAAGTAAAGTTCCAAAAGACAACTGCCTGTGTTAATGATACGTGTCTACGTGTGCCAGGAAGCTGACTGAAAACCATCCTGAGTATTCTATACATTCTCCTTTCTCCCTTTGAGAACTAAATACAATTAGAACAAAGAACAAAGAACTGTAAAGCAAGAACAGGCCCTTTGGCCCATCAAGACTGCACCAACACAAGCTGCTGTTCTAAACTAAAAACCTTCTGCCTCCATGTGTACTGTAACCCCCTATACCCTGCCTATTCATGGATTTGTCAAGATGCCTTTTTATGTTGCTATTGTATTCACCTCCACCTCCTCTAGTAGTGTATACCAGACATTGACCACCGTCTGTGTTAAAAACTTGCCTCTCACATCTCCTTTAAACTTTCTCCCTTTTACCTTAAACTTATGTACCCAAATAATTGAACTTTCTACCCTGGATAAAAGGTTCTGGCTATGCCTCTCATAATTTTGTAAACTTCTATCAGATTACCCCTCATCCTGTGACATTCAAGTGAAAATAAACGAGTTTGTCCAATCTTTCCTCATAGCTAATACTCTATCCAGGCAACACCCTGGTAAACCATTTCTGCACTCTCTCCAAAGCCTCCACATCCTTCTGGTAGAGCGGTGACCAGAACTGTACACAATATTTTAAATGTAGTCTAACTAAAGTTCTATACAGATGCAATATGACATGCCATATGCCCTGACCGATGAAGGCAAGCATGCCATATGCCTTCTTGACCAACTTATCCACTTGTGTTGCCACTTTCAGGGAACCGTGGACCAGCACACCTAGATCCTTCTATATGTTGATGCTACTAAAATTCTGCCATTTACTGTACACTTCCCTCCTGCATTAGATCTCCCCATATACATCACCTCCATCTGCTATTTCTCTGCCCAAATCTCTAGCCTATCTGTATCCAGCTGTATTGTCTGACAATCCTCCTCACTGCCTCCATTGTCTGGAATAGTCACCCCCTCTTCTATGGCCATTCTAGTCTGAAAATGCCTGAGCTTAGAAGCTAAGCAGACTTGGGCCTGGTTAGTGCTTGGATGGAAGACTGCCTGAGAATACCAGGTGCAGTTGGCTTCTGGGGTGATATGGTGGCTCAGTGGTTAGCACTGCTGCCTCACAGTGCCATGGACCCAGGTTTGACTTCACCCTCAGATGAGTGGAGTTTGTACATTTTCCCCATGTCTGTGTGGGTTTCCTCCGGGTGCTCTGGTTTCCTCCCACTGTCCAAAGATGTGTAGGATGGTTTATATTAGTCATGCTAAGTTGCCTGTAGTGTTCAGGGATGTGTAGGTTAGGTGGGTCTGCATGGGATGCTCTGAGGGTCGGAGTGGACTTGTTGGGCCGAAGGGCCTGTATCCACACCTAGGGGATTCTACGATGAGACTCACATCTTTCCTGATGGACTCAGCAAAGGGCTCTATAGAACACATAAACAAGGCAGGAGGGAGTGGGCATCCCTGCTTGACTCTGAATCTGATCGGTAAGTTTTCTGATTACCACCCATTGATAGAGACTGCATGAATGATGCTGGTGTGGAGCAGTCAGATCCAGTTGTGAATTGCCTCCCCAAAGCCCATTTTGGAGAGTACGTCCCACAATTAGGTGTGTGATAGGCTGTCCTGCATGGAGGCGATTGTATCCCTGAGGAGCACGAGGCTCTCAGAGATTGTCCTGCCCGGTACAGTACAGGTTTGTTCAGGGTGAATCACTGATCCCAGAGCAGACCTGACCTGGTTAGCAATGATCTTAGATAGGATTTTGTAGTCTGCATTCAGCAATGAAATTGGTTGCCAATTTCTATTTTCCTCCCTCTCCCCCTTTTGCTTGTCGATGAGGATGATGGGACAACACAGTGTGGAGCTGAAGGAACACAGCAGGCCAGGCAGCATCAGAGGAGCAGAAAAGTTGATGTTTTCCTCCTTTCTTCAGATTTCTGAAGAAGGGTTGCAACCCGAAAAGTCAACTTTCTTGCTCCTCTGATGCTGCCTGGCCTGCTGTGTTCCTCCAGCTCCACACTGTATTGTTTCCGACTCCAGCATTTACAGTTTTTGCAATCTCTGAGAAGAGGGTGATGATACTTTTCCTCATGGATTTGCACATGCTACCTGACAAAAGCATACTATCCTACAACTCCGGTAGGTCCTGTCCAATCAAGTTCGACAGAGCTGAATACAACATGGCCAGTAAGCCATCGCTTCTGGGAGTTTCATTCTTTTTTAAGAATTTGAAGGCCTTTGTCAGCTCTTCCAGAGATAATGACTGGTCCAGTCTCTCCAGCGTGCTTTTGTCTAAGACCTCCATGATAGAGGATAGGAACAACTGGGAGGCTGCACTGTGGGCTTCATGTCATACAGTCTGGCATAAAAGGATTTGCTGATCCTCAGAATGTCAGAACGCAATCCTTCCTCCATCTTTTTCACAGTCACCCTGACTGTAATGCGGACTCTCTGGCCTGGGGTGTGGGCACTAGCAGAGGCTAAAGGGCTGATTGGCCAGTCACTGAGTTGTGTTAGGCCAAAGCCAGCATAAAGACCAACCAATTTCAACTCAGCTCAACCAACAATCCTTCAAGATCTGCTCGCAATTATGATTTAACAATGATCTCAAGGTCTTCTTCAGATGAAAGTTCTCAGCTCAAACTTGTTTACAATGCTCAGTATCTCTCCAGGCACTACTCAGTCTGTGAACCTGGTTCCTGAGCAGCCAAGCCTATGTCAGCGATCCCCTTCTCAGTCGTGGTGACTGAGCCAACACCTCCCAGAATCCTCATGGGTTGCTTCTCTAAAGGGCTCTCTGTTAGGCACTTTTTCTAAAGTCAATTTTTGCATTGAAAAATCATTATTTTTTCTGGGATGTGCATTATTTAAACTGGCAAATATTTAATATTTCAATATGTGTGTATTTATCAGCTCAACACCTTTGCTGAATAAGTTTTGTTTTATAATAACCAACAATGTTGATGTTTATTAAATAAACTTGGTAGATGGACATTTTTATTCTAAGTCCAATATAGAAAAAGTATATAAATGATCATGTTGGTAACTGGATAAGTCATTTCAAGATATATTGTGACTAGTGGAGTAGTGGAACTACAGTGAAACAGTACACTCCTCCAATCCTGATCATGACAGTATTTGTGGTTCCCCTGGCAAAACCTCACAGTATTATAGTAAATTGTATCACCTTTAAAGACTCGCCCCAGGATGGTTTGAGACAGGGCCTTTCAGGGTCCATGGTGACTGCATCCATTTTTTTTTGGAAGAGAACGAGCACACAGTCAAGAATCCTCATAATCAGGTGAGGTGGTTTGGCTAATTTCCGCACAGTAGAAATGTCAGCAGGTTTTATTGTCTGGGAAGAGAAACAAAACATGTTAGTGTGATCTTAATAAATAAAGGCAGTAACAGGCATTACATGATTCAACAATTGACTACCTGCCTTTGTATTATCAACAAATTTATTTTCCATACATTCAGTCCCTGCAGCCAAATTATTGATATAAATTGTAAGTAGATCCGACCCTAGCACTGGTCGCTGTGGTGCAAAACGTGTTGCAGTTTACCAACCCAAAATTGATGTATTACATCTACTCTCTGTATCTTGTCTGACTATTTGTCAATCCACATTATTATGTTGACCCTTGACCATGAGCTCTTACTTTACATCGGAACATTTTATACGGCACATGTCAAATGCCTTTTGGAAACACAAGTAACAATGGTCCATATATTTCCCTTTGTCAATATTGCTTTTTACTTCCTCAAAAATTTCAATAAATTCTCAAGCATTATTTCCTTTTCACAAAAACTATGCCCGTAGAATCACCACAATGTGAAAAGAGGCCATTCTGCCCATTGAGTCCACACCGACCCTCTAAAGATCATCTCACCCAGACCCATCCCCCTAACCCTGCATTTACCATGGCCAATCCACTTAACCTGAATTTCTTTGGAGTGTATTAGGAAACTGGAGCACCCAGAGGAAACCCACACAGACACAGGGAGAACATAGAAACTTCACACAGTCATCAAAGGGTAGAGTTAAACCTTGGTTCCTGGCACTGAGAGGTAAAAGTGCTAACCGCTGTGCTGCCCAATGATGTGTGATTGTACTGAGATTTTCTAAATGCCCTGTTATTTTCTACTTAATAAACAATTCCAGCGTTTCCCTCTGACAGATGTTAAGCTAACCGATTTGTAGTTTCCTACTTTCTGTCTCCCCCTTTCTTGAATAGAGGTGTCACATTCACTATTTTCTAATCTGATGGAACATTATTAGAACATAAGGAATATTGGAAAATTGAAATCAATGTATCTATTATTGTAGTAGCCAGTTCTTTTAAAATCCTATGATGAAGACTGTCAGGAGCTAGGGACTTATAGAGTCATGGAATCATACAGCACAGAAACAGACCCTTCAGTCCAACCAGTCCATGCCAATCGTATTCCCAAATTAAACTAGTCCTACTTGCCTGCTCCTGGCCCACATACTTTTCCTATTCATTTACTTACCTGAGTGTCCTTTAAACATTGTAACTTTGCCCACATTCACCACTTCCTCAGGAAGTTCATTCCATTCGCAAATCACCCTCTGTGTAAAACATTTGCCCCTCATGCCTTTTTTAAATCTCTCTCATCTTAAAAATGTGCCCCCTAGTCTTGTAATCCCTCATCTGAGAGAAAAGACACCTGCTATCCACCCTGTCTATGCCCCTTATGATTTTAAAAACCTCTAATAAGGTCACATCTCAAGTTCTTATGCTCCAGTGAAGAAAGTCCCAGCCTATCAACCTTTCTTTTTAACTCAAACCTTCCATATCCGGCAACATCCTTGTAATTCTCTTCTGAAACCTCTCCAGCTTGAAAATATCCTTCCGATATTTTCAGAACGGCATGGTGGCTCAGTGGTCAGCATTGCTGCCTCACAGCACCAGAGACCTGCGTTTGATTCCACCCTCAGGCGACTGTCTGTGTGGAGTTTGCAGATTCTCCCTGTGTCTGCGCGGGTGTGCTCCGGTTTCTTCCCACAGTCCAAACATGTGCAGGCTAGGTGGATTCGCCATGCTAAATTGTCCCATAGTGTTCAGGTATGTGTAGATTAGGTGGGTTATAGGGGGATGGGTCTGGGTGGGATGCTCTGAGGGTCGGTGTGGACTTGTTGGGCTGAAGGGCCTGTTTCCACACTGTAGGGATTCTATAACTGGAGGGCCAGAATTGGCAGCTTTTAGTCTTAATAATTTTATCATAACCTTTCCTTGGTAAATATAATTGTTTTAAGTTCCTCTATCCCTTTCACCTCCTGATTCACAATTACTTCTGGGATGTAATTTGTATCCACTACAGTGAAGACAGATGCAAAATATTTGTTCAATTCATCTGCCAAATTTCAAAGATACAAACACCCAGATGAGCACGAGTTGCTCTTGAGCAAACTAGTATATTGCTGATAATGCTGTTTCTTCCAGGTGCCATGGTTTCCTCTCACTGTCCAAAGATATGCAGGTTAGGTGGGTTGGCCTTGCTAAAAAAATGTCCCATAGTGTGTAGGTTAGGTGGGTTAGCCATGGTAAAAATGCCATGCAGGTTACAGGGAAGGGTCTGGGTGGGATGCTCTTCAGAGGACTGGTGCAGACTTGAGGTGCTGAATGGCGTCTTTTTGCACTGTAGGGATTCTATGGTTCTAATGACCATTTGGAAAGTGTGAGAAAATGTTGGAGATGACTGGATAAAGGAGACTTGAAATAAAATCTGAGTTAACATTTTCAAATAAAATAAGACAGTGACATTGATAACACATTGTGGAGCTGGAGGAACACAGCAGGCCAGGCCAGCATCAGAGGAGTAGGAAAGTCAACGTTTTAGGTCGGGAATCTACAGTTTTTACTATCTCTGAGTGAGTTATAACCCCACTGTGAAACCTCTTCTAGCGATGCCTACCTTGAAGAAGTTATCCTCCTCCCTCTGGATCTCTCTCCCACTGCAACTCTCTGGTAATCTCTTCAGCCCTGAAACTCCCCGACCACATACTGAAGCAAACCAGGTCTACAGTCACATCGTTTTTCTCAGTACCTTCCTACGGAACCGGATCATCCCCAATGGACTCCAATCAACATTCAGGCCATTCCCAATTTCGCCCTGATCCGACAATGTCTACATACGTAACATCCAGATCCTCCAAAAACAATTTTCTCTGCGGCTCCTCAAGCACTACTCCAGCATCGGCAGTTCTTACTATCTCTAAGACAGTGGCGTTGTTATAAGCATCCAAGTGAATTCCTTTAAACTAAAAGGTCAATTTCTTCTGCTCTCTGCTACTTCTTTACAGCTGTGGCTTTAACAGAACTAGAGAAAAGCTGCTCGTGCACCAGTTGTGTCAGCCTGGGTGCCTGTGGAAACATTCCCTGGTTTGAGAGTCCATAAGGACCTGATCAAACATAATCCACTGACATATGTGTAGGGGCAGAACTGGTAATCATATCAGACTTGTGTTATAAAGTGGAGGTTGACCCCACTCTAAGGATGTTTTTTCCTTTATTGATTCACGGGATGAGGGCATCGCTGACTAGGCAGCATTTATTGCCCATCCCCAACTGCCCAGGGGGCAGTTAAGAGTCAACCACATTGCTGTGGGTCTGGAGTCACATGTAGGCCAGACCAGGTAAGGATGGCAGTTTCCTTCCCTAAAGGGCATTAGTGAAACAGATGGGTTTTTCCAACAATCAACAATGGATTCACGGTCATCATTAAATTCTTAATTCCAGATATTTATTGAATTCAAATTCCACCATCTGCCATGGCAGGATTTGTACCTGGGTCCCCAGAACATTATCTGGGTCTCTGGAATACTAGTCCAGCAATAATACCAAAACAATAATACCAAATACCAGAACCAAAACCAAAGCACCCAAAAAGGAGCACCTTGCCCTTTAATCTGTTAAAAGGAGTGAGAAACCTGTCTTTCAGAAAGTTTTATTGGTTAAATAAAATTAATCCCTGACACTCACTTTATAGTGATCAAGTAACAATTTATTTATCTAACTCTAACAGTAAACAAATTAACTAAGCTATTAACAAACCTAACAAATCCCTTCTAGCTACTAACTATTCCTGAATAATGCAAGATTCTAATGGTATGCTGTTCCGACAAATACAAGTCCCACTTATATAACAAAACAATAGAATTTAGTCTCTCAAAATTACAGCCAGCTTACGTCTTCTGGAATGTTCTGTGTCTTCTCGTCAAATCTTCTGTCAAGAATGCTTTCTCTGTCAATTCTTCTGTCAGGAGTCTTAGCTAGGAGTGCTGTGATACCATTGTGAATAGATGGCACTTTCTCTAAGAGCTGTTATCTCTAGCAGATGGCAGTTAGCTCTGCCAACTTTCCAACTGCCCCTTCTCTTATACCCCTGATGACATATCAAATTCTTACAATTGCATTGATCCTAGGTTGTCAAAATCATCAGATTCAAATCTGTAATAGTAAGAACTCACAATGTTGGAGTCAGAGATAACACAGTGTGGAGCTGAAGGAACACAGCAGGCCAGGCAGCATCAGAGGAGCAGGAAAGCTGACATTTCAAGTCAAGACCCAAATTTGATAGGTCTTTGGTATCTAAGTGCCTGCTTCAAGTTGATTAGCTAAATTCAAAAACCTATTGACTTGGTAAAAATGTTGCTTGGTCTGCTAACGGTACGGCCTTTCGAACAAATGTTCCAATTTACGTGGTCTCTCTAGTTGCAAACTTTCAAGCAGCTCACAGACATGTCCAAGCATAGAAAAAGCACAATCTTTTAAAGGCACCATGGAATGCTTTACCCTCAGCATTTTACAAACACCAATATTCTAATGTCCTGTCTCCCAATCCACAAATATTTTACCCAACTTTGCAATATCTCCCCCTTTAAAAAAAAACCCATCATTATGAAAAGATGGCCTCATTATTTTTCTCTAAAACCTTAACTCCATTATATTGCTGGATATATAGCTCATTAATCTAGAGTTACATATTTTATACTAATTCTATTTATATATATAACATTGAACACTACCGTTTATATCTTATACAAACATTTTTCTATTAAACCCATGATACAGCATCCGCAGTAACATTTTCACAACCTGCAACATGTACAACCTTTAAATTAAATGCTTATAACATGAGACTCCAATGAAATAGTCTGGTGTTCTTATCCTTAAATCTTTCCCGAAATCTCAAAGAATCATGATCGGTATACTTAATCGTCTCTGATGCAACGTAAATATTAAAATGTTGTAAGGCCAGTACCAATGGTTGAATATTTTTCAATGGTTGAATATTTTTCTGATGGATATTGAGTTTCTTTCAAAAATA